TATATCACATCTGGGAAGTATTTAAATATTAAAAGAAAGCAGAGAAGTAAAAAAAAACACACACAAAAAATAACAAAAAAAAAAAAAAGCCAGCAAATATAGCAAGTCAGTGTATGATTTTTTTGTAAAGCAAACTTTCTTGTTTTTTTATGAAACCGCCGTATATACGGATTTGCATACGTAAACATAGATTTGCATATTTTCTATACCTATATATCTCTCCGTATAAGCAGCGTGTATATATATATATATATATATATATATATATATATATATATATGTCCGGATTTTTTCTTTCTGCTATACTTTATACGACCTTGTGAATGTCTTGACTTATGTGTGTACATATACGTTTGCGTATATATATATATATATTTAAATATATTTGTATATATATATAATTTATATATTTACCGATACTTAGTAAAATTATGTTTATTGTTTACCTTAAGCTGATCCACAACGATATACTGTACCTAAACCAGATTTCAGTTTTGTATATATATATATATATATATATATATATATATATATATATATATATATGAAGCCAAATTTGAATGTAATTTTTTTTTCTTTTGCTGCGTCGTCCTCTGTCGAATGACTATATTTTTTCTTTCTCTCATTCCGTACATGCAAACATACATATATATATATATATATATATATATATATATATATATATATATATATATATATATATATATATATATAAATGTATATTTAACAGTCGTCTTTACTTTTGAATCTATCTATCTATCTATCTCTATCTATCTATCTATCTATCTATCTATCTATCTATCTATCTATTAGAATATATTTGAAGACGGCAAAAATTTTTTTTGGAAACTTATGAAAAATTTCGGGGTTTTTTTTTCTTGTTTCTTTCTTTCCTTCTTTGTCTGGAGTAAAAGTTCAGTTTTCCCTCCAGGAAACGCGCGTATTAAAAATCGTTTTTGTTGTTGTTGTTGATTTTTATTTTGGTTAATTGAAATAGCGCATCCATGCATTTGAGGCCGCTACACTATTTATTTCATTTTCATGCAGTATAACTGTTCCACCTAAAAAATGCAAACAAACAAGTTTTACTTCAATTATTAATACCTGCATAGATTTTACACTGTGACACTTTATGTGTACTGCTTTTCTTTTTCTTTTTTTTTTTTTTTTTTTACAAAAAAACGCGATAAACCTTTTCTTTGCGCATGCACAACAGCAAAGGCTTATACTTTTTAATTATTTCAATTTCAATGTTTCGAATGATGGTCTAATCGTTTTTTTTCTTCTAAACAACTTCGAAAACATTTTTTTGTTTACTTATTTTGTCGTTCTCTTCTTTCCTATAATAATAATAATAATAATAATAATAATAATAATAATAACAACAATAGTAGTTATTATTATTATTAGTAACTATAGTATCATTAATAGTACTTACATTATTTATGTATTCCAATGTTTCATTAAAAAAAAAACAACTTGCATTTGCGCCCATAAACGTATTTCTATCAGCATAAATTATTTTATATCATTTTGTTTGGAAGCCAGAACGGACATAAATAGTTATTCTTTTATCTTTGTACCTTTCACTCTATATACCAAATAACATGTATCTAATTTATCGGTGCCTGTTTGTGAGTGACGTTGAAAAGCGAGCGTATGTTTGAAAGAGGGAAGATCATATATTCGTAGATTTGTGCTGGGTTCGATGTCAGTAGCTGCTTGACCGCAAGCGTTGTAAATCTCTCGCTTCAGAATTTTGGGAAACACTTGAGAGCACATGGGTTTTAAACAAAAGTCTGTACAAGGTTTTTCTTTTCTTTCTTTCTTGGTTTAGATTTCTTAAATCTTATTTTATCCGAGTGGATACGCACACGTTTAGCTTTTTTGCGCTTTCGAACTTCAGGTCCGTTTATACAAAACTATGAAATCTAGCTCTCTCTCCCTTATCTATCTATCTATCTATCTATCTATCTATATATATATATATATATATATATATATATATATATATATATATATATATATCACGCACGCTCGTGTGTTAGAGAATGTCAAATCTAGTACTATTCCTAATTTTCAGCGATATACAATTAGGTCTTTTATTTCATTAAATTTCTTTCGAAATTAAGAGAAATGATTGGTTGCTCCAGGAATTGTTATCATCGTTTTAATAATCGCAATCTATGTATGAAAGAATAATGAAGCAACAGTCATAAAACGAAAAAAAATATCAAGAAACGAAAGCAGAATAACAGTTTATTATTATTATTTATTATTAATAATAATAAAGATGTCTATATATTCTTATATATGTAAATTATTATGAGCACTATTAGGTATATACCTGAAAGTAATGTATACCCATAATTTTGTTTATACCCTTCGGGTATAACTTATTTATCAGGAGTAACTTTTCTCTTTTCAGTTTTGGAAATTATTTTTCTTCCATTTGAGTATTTCTGTATAGAGCCGTCACCATAGGTCTCGTATAAGCAGTTATAATCGTTCTATCTTGTCGGTAAATATTTCCATGTGTCGGACTTGTTATCGCCAATTTTATAGATATTCACTTTTCCGTCATATAAATTTGCTTGTTCGTTTTTTTTTTGTTTTTTTTAAAGATATATTGCCTTATTTTTTTTTTTTTTAAGAAACTGTGCCTTTTTTAAAAAATATAGTGCCTTTTTTTTTTTAAAGTGAGCGTTCATACAGATACCTTATTTTCCCAGTATCGTCGATTTTATAAGTACACAAACAAACTGACCGCTGAGGATCAAAGGCGTTGCATTAATATCCACTGTTGTGGTTGAACACAAGTCCGTCGTCTAAAGAAACAAGCAAAAACAAAACAGATGAGCTTTGACAGATTTCCTTGTTTGTATAGTTGTTTATATATATATATATATATATATATATATATATATATATATATATATATATATATATATATATATATATATATCTGTGAGCAAGATTATGTGGTTATATGTGGGTACGGGCGAAGCGGATTGAAACTTTATACTCCTCGAAAATGTTTGTTCAGTTCATTGCTTACCACTTGGATGGTGCGTGTTAACATCCATGAACGAACACAATTTATCCCTCTTTTTTCGTATTGCGGTACCATATACCCATCCAAAGATCAAAATGAATTTCCAGTGTTAATAGCCTTTTGGGAGCGCAGATTTCGCAAGTAAAATATTTAGCGGAAATAATCGTAAGGTTTTGATTTTTAAAATTAATTTTCCTTAACCCGTTTTAATGAGCCTCGGTGTTGTTCCGGAACTGTGTGGAAAGAAGTTTGCGGCTTTCCATTTTCGATCCTTTGTTCTTATTACTTAACTATATCCATAAATGCGAAAAAAAAAAAAAAAAAAAAAAAACCTTTAAAAGTCTGACAAATTTCAGTCAGTATATTTTTCTTTCCTTCTTTTTCTCTTCTCGAAATGATTAATTTCTTTATCAGCGGTAACTTTTTCTTCTTCTTTTTTTTTAAAATTCAGAGATGGATCTCTTTCTTTTTTTTAAGTCGGTTCTCTCTGACTTATGTAAACCAGCCTGTTAAGGTGATCGATGCGAATTATTGTCGGCTGATACCTGTTTACCTGACTCTGATTAGAAGGATACCTGAGCAACAGTGTATGTGGCTACGGGTGTAAATGTATGAAAGCATGCTTGACTGCACATGCATGCATATAATTGATACACCATTGCCGGCAGACGAACGGATAATTGCATTTTAATGCTTGCTTCCTGGAGACTATGGATTTTAGAAGAACTGGACATAATATATAGTTGAGCGTGCTTAAGATATCTACATCATCTGGGCAACATGGAAAATAAAATGTAAACTTCTACGGCTCCTCCAGAGAGTTCCTTGATTTTTTAAGCACAAACTGAAGTTTAAGTGTACATCAGTATGATTTTTTTTCAGATAGGCGAGAGCGTAAATTACTTGAGGAACGTGAATTTTAAAAGTATAAAATTGTTTATAGAAAATCACGTTTTTCTCGATTCTGATGATGATTTTAAACATACATATCTATCCGCATGTCTATAGTTATGGATATAAATCTATATATTTAGGTCTTCTAGATGTTTCCTGGGTTTACAGGGATTACCCGTGGATACAAAAATATATTTCAAAGTATTCTGTAACGAATATAGATATACATGCGTGTAATTGAGAAGTTAGGTATACTTTTCCATCAAAAAAGGTTACATATATTAAGTATGTTACGTATATGTCAGCAGTTATCTTTTTGTCAGTCCTAAATTGAGGTCCCTTTCAAAATGAGGTGCCATTCTTTAGCACGAAAGGTGAATACAGAACTCAGGTTATTTTTTTTTTCTTTTTTAAAACGTAACAAGTTCCCTTAAGAATATGTGCGTAGGTATACTACTTAGAAAAGCTGAAATATTTTTTAAAGTGCTGCATGGATTTTTGTATTTGAATATTTGAATATTTGTATTTGTGACCCCGAATTTCTTTCAGATAAGTTTCTTTTTTCTTTCAAATTTGTTTTGTATGTATATATTCCGGGTTTTTAAATTACTTTGTATATTTCAAATAAGGGTTAACGCATTATGAATTATTGCAGGGACGTGTTGCTGTTGTGACATGTCATTTTTTTTAAACCTTAATATTCAGTCGGAAAGATAAGAAGACTTTTAAGAATTTGTACTTGGGTTGCATTAAACGGTCTCCTGAAACAAAACTGAATATAATCCGAAAAAAAAAAAAAAAAAAGATTATTAAAAAAAATAACCCGGTAAGTTGCGAGAAGGAAGCAAAAAAGGCGTGAGAGTGAAGGAGAGAGAGAGAGAGGGAATCAGAGAGAGGTAGGTTGAGCTCCTGAACTCAGATGTTTTTTTTTCCCCTTTTCTCAACTAAGTACCACGAAAGTTGTGCAGGTGATAGAAGGTTGTTAATAAAAGAAAATTGAAGTATTTTTTTTTTTTTTTTTTTTTTTTTTAAAGGATCCCCTTTGGACGATTTAAAGTGTGTTTTCCCGCTGTAAAGACGAAGAGAAATGGAAGAGAAGAGATAGAAATAAAGACTTGTGCTGTAATTGTGTCCGTCTCACTGAATGAATTGTGTGACCAGATGATGAGGAGACAAGCCGACAGACTGACGGATAGGCGCATAGGCAAGGGAGGCTGATATAAACACACACACACACATACACACACACACATACACACACATGCACAGATATAAAAAATAGGGAGGAGTAAAGAGAAATGACGTGAGTTGAGGTAAGAGAAAGATTACAGGACAAAGTTAAAGAGAGAAAGTATGAATACAGAGAGAGGAAGAAAGAGTGTTGGAGTAGGAGGGAAAAGTTTAAGTAGAAAATGGGAGGAGAACAAGTGAGTGTAGTGGAAGTTCGGGGAGGGCAGAAAAAGTAATAGGAGTAGGAGGAGTTGACTGTGTTGGTGGATGTAAGGGTAAGAGGTGCCGTGGAAAGAGAATAGGAGGATGAGGAATGATTGTTATTGAAAAGAATCGCCCGTGCAAAGTTTTGATTGGAACAGATAAATGGAAAAAAAATCAAGTTTTGGATAGATAGATAGATAGATAGATAGATAGATAGATAACAAATAGAGAGAGAGAGGGGGAGGGGAGAAGAAAGCAGATGTAGATAGATAGATAGATAGATAGATAGATAGATAGATAGATAGATAGATAGATAGATAGATAGATAGATATGAACTGAGATAGAGAGACATACAGAAAGGAGCATCGATAGAAACGGGTTGAGATAGATATAATCAGGCTGGGATAGATAGATAGATAGATAGATAGATAGGAAGGGAAGGAAGGAAGGAAGGAAGGAAGGAAGGAAGGAAGGAAGGAAGGAAGGAAGGAAGGAATCGAGCTAGGAATAAAGAAAATAGTAGACTGGGATATATACATTTGAAGAGACTGAAGCAGATAGGTACGATAAAGATGAAATAAAAAAAATAGATAGATATGAACTGAGAATGAAAAAAATGAAGGAAAGAAGAAAGAAAGCAGATTGAAAAAGATAGTAACAAGTCGAATACAAATAGGATAAGAAGATTGTGTTGCGTCGATCTGAGTTGGAAATTAGTATGCACAATTCTAGGAATGGCTTTGGTTCGAAAAAAAAGTTCTGGCGTTGAAGGCAAAAGAAAAAGAAAGAAGAAAAAAATATATACATGTTTATACATATATGTGTGTATGTATATATGTATATATATATCTATGTATAGCTAGATAGATAGATATGAACAGACTGAGATAGACAGATATGAACAGACTGAAATAGACATGAACAGCCTGAGATAGATGGTTAGAAAGAAAGAAAGAAAGAAAGAAAGAAAGAAAGAAAGAAAGAAAGAAAGAAATAGGCTGAGACAGATAGATAGATAATGATCCAGTGGATCGATCGATCAATAGATGCGTGGAGGGATTAAATTGGTTGCTAGATAAAAAGACATAAAGTATCGATCAATCGAATGATGGATCAACTCATCCATACAAACACTCAGGCGAACATACATACATTCAGTTAATCTCACACATCTATCTATCTATCTATCTATCTATCTATCTATCTATCTATCTACTTATTTTTTTAAAAAAACCGAAGCAAAAACAGTGAGACATTCAGGTAAAACTATAGTAAAGAGATTGGTATCATGTAATGCACTTATTGAACTTAATTCTAAGGAACGGAATCATTCTTCACCTGCATCGAAATCTTTGATCAGTGCCGTTAGTCCCGTTCAAGAAATCTCAGCTCAGCGGTAAATTTAATTTTCCTAAGCAGTGGGACATACACGTAAGCACAAAACTGATATAGACATATGGATAGATAGGTTAAAGTCCGCTTTTTGGTTTAAGAATCTTGTGTATTTCTTTCGAGAACAAATGCTTGGTGTTCGATCCTAGTTAAAGGATTTCACATACTGATTATTGAGAGAAGTAGGCAGTTCTTCCTTATTCAGAAGATCGGCGGCGAAACATAATCCTATTCCGTTCCTCGATCCGAAATTTCACTCCTTGATAGATAACTAATGACAGATATTTAAACACACACACACACACACACACACACACAAATATAAAAGAAGAGAAATCGGAAACATTTTTGGCTGTAATGTGGATTTTTTTTTTTAAATATACTATGCTTTATTTTCTATTTAAAAAAAAAATCCACATTACAACCAAAAACGTTTGCGGTTTTCTCTTCTTTTTTAATATACACATTTTTTTTCTCGTTGGAACAACTATAGCCTCTTCTTTATATATATATATATATATATATATATATATATATATATATATATATATATATATATATATATATATATACGTTTCATTAAATAATATAAACAAGTGTTGTCTATTTATTTTATGTAAATTTTTTTCGTAACATCTGATAAGTTTAATAACATTATCGTTGAAGGAAAAAGAAATTCACAATATTGATCCATATTTTTTTTTGTCTATATTATTTCATGAAACGTGTATGAATGAAAAGATGCTGCTTAAATACACACAATATACAAAAAGAATATATAAGAAAAAAAAGTGAAGAGCACTAATCGAGGGACACATGGACACGCGCATGAGCCCATAGACACGCATGCGCACATGCACGCGTATACTAAACTTGTTGAATTTATGGTGTTTTTTTTTCTGATGATAGGTATAAAAACAATGGTGACAACTTGTAGCGATTTGCCATCCAGACTGTTGAAGAAACAACGAGGTATGAAAAGTTGAAAAAACAAAAAAAAAAAAATCATAACCCCCCACCCCACAAAAAAAACAAGGAAAGATAGAAAAATAACAAGAGCTAGACGACCTCCCATGGACTCTACACTTGCGTGCTTAAATCCTAACTTCCGTACTAGGTAAGTTAATAGATCTCTGCATTGCGTATAAGTTTGATAGTGTTCATTTGCATGCGCGCGATGTCTCTGTATATATATCTGAGTGCTCTAGGCCTTGTGCCACAACCAAACCATGCTTAGTAAATCTCTCTCTCTCTCCCCACCTCTCCCTCTCTCTCTCTCTCTCTACACATATACACAGACACACACATATATGTGTGTGTGTGTTTGTATACTATATGCCTTATTTTAGTTTGTTACTGTTTGTGATTTTAGAGAGAAAAGGAAAGGGAGAGAGACATGTTAATGGAAGAAAAAGTGTACCGAACAATTTGGGACTGAGGAACAGCGGGGTGGAGAGGGAAGGAGAAGCACGGAAAGGAAAGAAAAGAAATGAGAGCGAGAAAGAGGGAGGGAGAGAGTAGCGAGAGAGAGAGAGACTTCAGTAAAGAGTAAAAGAGTAAAAGCGGTGAGAAAGTGGCCTGCGGAAGAGAGAGACAGGATCAGGTGTATAGACTGAGATAGAGGAAAGAAACAAGAATAGAAAGGAAAGAAATCATATATATATATATATATATATATATATATAGTGAGAGAGAGACTGATAGTAAAGGGAAAAGTAATGACAGAAGAAGTGAGAAAGTGGCCTTTGGACGAGAGAGACAGGAACAGAGATATAGCCTGATAGATAGATAGATAGATAGATAGATAGAAAGATAGAAAGATAGATAGATAGATAGATAGATAGATAGATAGTGAGAGATAGAGAGGGGGGGAGAGAGTGGGAAAGAGAGGAGGGAGATTTGTCTGAAGATGAAAGTGTTAAGAACTGGGACATAGCCAGAAAAGAAGGTAAGGAGGGGAAATGCAGTTGGGAGAAATGAGCGGCTAAAGTAAGAGAAAAAGTGGCAGAGAGAGAGAGAGAGAGAGAGAGAGAGAGAGAGAGAGAGAGTAGGGCTTGGAACAAAGAGAAGAGCAATGATAGAGGAGGAGAGAAATTGGTACGGAGAGAAAGGATAATTGCAGAAAGGAACAAAAGAAGGAAAAGGGCGAGGGAGAAAGTGAGAGAGAGGATCGGTAGAGAGTAATGATAAAAGAAAAGAGAAAGTGGCCTGGAGAGAAGAGAGGAAGGGATAAAGACAAAGAAGGAAAAGAGCAAAAAAAAGAAAGAAAGAAAGAGGAAAGAAAGAAAGAATGAAAAAAAAGAAAGAAAGAAAGTGGCCTGAGAGAAGAGATGAAGGATATAGACAAAGAAAGAAAGAAAGAAAGAAAGAAAGAAAGAAAGGAAAGAAAGAAAAGAAAGTGGCCTGGAGGAAGAGAGGAAGGGATAGAGACAAAAGGAGAGACAGCAAAAAGAAAGAAAAAAGAAAAGAAAGAAAGAAAGAAAGTGGCCTGGAGAGAAGAGATGAAGGGATATAGACAAAGAAAGAAAAAGAAAGAAAGAAAGAAAGAAAGAAAAGAAAGAAAGAAAGAAAGAAAGAAAGTGGCCTGGAGAGAGAGGAAGGGATAGAGACAAATGAGAGGCAAAAAAGAAAGAAAGAAAGAAAGAAAGAAAGAAAGAAAGAAAGAAAGAAAGAAAGAAAGAAAGTGGCCTGGAGAGAAGAGATGAAGGGATATAGACAAAGAAAGAAAGAAAGAAAAAAAGAAAGAAAGAAAGAAAGAAAGAAAGAATGTGGTCTTGAGAGACAAGGTGACCAGGGATATAGGAAAAGAAGAGGAAGGAAAAGAAAGAGAAAGCGATAAAAAGAGAGAGAGTGACAGGAGAGAGAAAGCTGATAAAAAGAGAGAGAGAGAGTGATAGGAGAGAGAAAGGAGATGATAGAAGAAATAAATAGACCTGGAGAGAAGAGAGGAAGGGATAGAGACAAATAAGGAGAGACAGCAAAAAGAAAGAAAGAAAGAAAAAAAGAAAGAAAGAAAGAAAGAAAGAAAGAAAGAAAGAAATAGACCTGGAGAGAAGAGAGGATATAAGCAGGAAAAGAATAGGGAGAAACAGCAAAGAGAAACACGATGAGGTGAGAAAGATAAAAAGTGGTCTGGAGTGTGGGAGGAAAAACAGGGATTTAGGAAGAGACAGGAAGGAAGAGAGAAAGAGTGGAAAAGAGAGAGAGAGAGAGTGAGAGTTAGT